GATGCCCTTGACCAGGCTGCAGTCTTCTTTACAAACCAATATGAAAGTAAATTTAGCTATACTTTCACTTACAGCCTCAATAAAGTTCTTTAAAGTCCCTTAATATCTTCATTAACAAGTAATGAGGGTAGAGGTAGGAGCAAAATACTTCCTTACTCAAGATAGAACTCTCATCTATATGTCCCGCTTCATCCAATGGGAGGATGGCCCATTCAACAACTTCTTGAGAACATGAACATGAATCATCTTTAGTCCCCCTCCAGCTCACCCAGCTCTGCTGCAGAAGTTGCGTTTTCCCACTTTTTAAATTATTTTATTTTAAAATAGTGAAATACAAGGAAAAAACCCCACATCACCAACAGAGAAAAAAGATAAACAGTGATTACACAGTGAAAAAAGAAAAACTAAATATTATAGTAATTATAAGCAATTAAATATGACAAAAGAAAAAACTAATTACAGAAAAAAAGATTCATATGGTAACTATAAATAACAATATGTAAAGTTAATTTAATCCTTAAGTTTATCATTGAATCTAGACCATATACCAACATATTGTATCATATTCTCTTTTTAGAACACAGAGATTTTTCAAAAATAGACAGTGAACTTATCTCCTGGATCCCTTCCTTAAAATCAGGACAGCAAGTTTTTTTCCAGTGATATAAAATTATCCTCTTTTTCTTTGCCATGACCAGGCTCAATCCAAAGCTTTTGATGAGATGACAAATTCCATGCTCTAGGAATATAATTCAACATCACACTGAGATCCTTAACTATAATATTTTACTTCTGATGGCATAAAGTGTGCTGAGTGGTCAGTGTGTATGCAAATAGGTCTGAGGTACGTTTATAGGCAGGGGACTGCCTGTTCCCATGGGTGGCAAACACAGCAAATGGGAGAGAAGAACCATAGAAGTACCCAGCACCAACAGAGCCATTTTCACCACTGAAGATCTGTTTAATCGTAGAGGTGTCACTGGAGAGACACTTCCCCTATGATACAGCTCACTGCCACCCCATGCAGTTTAGGTGCTGTAGCTTCAAGGGTGCGTGTATTATACATGACCAATAGTCTACCAGTAGACAGCTGGATAAGTGCCATTTTGACACATGACAAAAAATCCCCTGGAGGAATGAGGAGGCCAAGTTGCTTCTCCCAGGTGCAAACTGCTCCTATCACTGCTGCCTCCCCACTGCCTCAGTGCTGCAGTATAAAAGCAGCAGAGAGTGTTGTAAGCCACTTGCACTTCTGCATGGAAGAAGATAGGCCCCAGAGCCATTTCCCCCAGTTGCAGGTTGCATCTGGGAAAAAAAGCTCTATAATCTGGACTCCTGCTATAAAGCATGAGAAACCTGCTTCCCTCTACCTTCTGTCTCCCACCTCTACTGCCACCCATCACAAGAAAAGCAGGGGGGGGAGAGGGAGAGACTGGGTCTCTTCTCTTTGCCCCTGCTTCTCTTGCCATAGGATGCAGGAGCATCAGAGGAAAGAGGCTGGAGAAAAGTAGTGGATAATAGTCTTCTATGATCTTGTACTGCCAATAACTAACACCAAGATTATTCCCTCTCCCAGGTTTTTATTGCAGGTAAAACCCCTATTCTTATTACAGGTAAAACCCCTATTGTGCTTCACTGCCCAGGCAGAATAGAGGTTGGAAGAGAGGTGTTTTTTTTTTAGTACAGAAGTTTTTTGCTTAACAACTGCCCTGTTTAACAACCATTCAAAATTATGACAGTGCTGAAAAAAATAACTTTACAACTCACACAACCACTGCAGCATCCTTGCAGTCATGTGATCAAGCTCTGGGCACTTGGCAACCAGCAGGTGTTTACACCA